AAGGAAATATAAACTGAAAATTTCGTATTACAGGCATCACCAAGTAATTTATCCTTTGATAAATTACTTACACAACCATAATCACAAGCCTTATCACCACCGTAGTGGCCCGGTCCAGGTTTCAGGTTCTGCCCCTAAGGATACACTCTCCATCTCCTATCTAGGCCATCAGCAGGTTTACCAGTTCGCAAGATCTCTTATCTTAAGAAATCATTTATTAAAATTCTGAAATAGTTCATTATAATTTCAATAGCTAAAATCAAGCTATTGTGTTAAAATACATTTCTTTTGTAAACATGTCATTTCTTTAAAACCTTTGTACTGCCAAAACTCTTTTAAAAACATGTTATCAAAGAAAGGGATAAGAAATCCTACCTCTTATGCACCTAACATGTGGCTAGCGTTACGCTATTCTGGCTTTTGCTTCCTCAAAGCCTTCAATTTGATTCCTCGGCTAGCATTTACACAAAACAACGCTTTAGGATTCAATTCTCATTCCTAAAGTAAATCAATCTCAATTATACCCCTAGATTTCCTATTAGTACGCCTTAATCCAATTACAAGTTTCATAAATCATTTTATGTTTCAAATTATCATTCCAAAGGTTTTGATTTTAAAACATGGATTAAAGATGTTAATCCATCTATTTTAGATTCTGAAATGAAGCTAATTTGGGTTTTCTTCAAAAATTGAGGTCAAAACAGGGTTTCTAGACAAAACAGGTTCAAACCCCGTGTGCACCGGTCGACCGGTGACAGAGAGATTGTTCTCCACCGGTCGGCCGGTGGAGAAAGAACCGGTCGACAGATCTGGTCGACCGGTGGGAGCTGCACAGGATGGCTGACATGGCCGATCTGAAGAAAATCAGAACAAAACCTGCAAATCTGAGTTCAAATCTGAAATATTTCAAGGGGAAACAACCAAATCTAGGTTCTAGTTACTAAATCAAGTCGAAAGAACCAATTTTTCCTAATTTTCACCGTGATTTTACTCAAAATATATCAAAATCCATTTCGAGTTAAAAATACGTTTTCCAATAGAAAAATTCGAGATTGAAGAGAAATTTTTCAGAAATCTTACCTCAAATCCTTATCTTGACGTTGAAAACTCCTCGAAATTCTTCTTTGGTTCGAAAACCTGTTGATTTGAGAGAGAAAACGAGAGGGAGAGAGTTCGAACGAGAGAGAGAGAGAGAGAGATGCACGGAAAGAAAAAAAGAAAGAAAGAAAAAGAAAAAGGAAAACGGAAAAAAAATGCAAATATCAAAGATATTTAGGGAAACAGAGTAGAAAATGTATTTACACACACTTCTGAGGTGAAAATATAAATACTGAAAACATTTAAATCCCTTGAAAATATTTAAATTTACATATCAAAAATATTTATTAATTAATAATTAATTAATTAAATTAGATTCAGTATACTAATAAATTTTAATTATCTTAATTAATCTCGTTTAATTTCTCAAAGTATTACATAAATGCTGAACTTAGACTTTATAAATGCGCAAAAAGAAAACCTTAATACCAAAACAAGTATCAATATTCGTAACTGAAAAAAAAAGACAGTTGAATAAAAGTTATTAAATATATTATGCTGCAAAATTATATTATGAATTAAGTATTTTTACCATGTGATCCTACCACAAAATTCTCCCATTTTTACTGCTCTTTTTCGAATTATAGATGGAGGCCACGACTTAGAGCTTTTATGACTGGTGAAAGCGGCAAGGAAAAGGATCGGCGGTCCTGAAAAAAGATGATGTGCGACATCTAGACCGAAGATGCTGAAAAAAGTACGTCTCACTTGTTTATTCTCATTACAGCTCTGTTATTAAATGTGATCACAAAACACTATTATATACATGTATATTATACATGGATGCTCTATCGACACTTTTTTTTTCTTACTTTTTATAAACATATTTTTAAATCATCTCTCATTTTATTTGTCATACCCTCCTTAAATTTTTTTAAAAATCTTTATAATTAAATCATCTCTAATTCTATTTTTCACACATATTCTTAAACTACCTCGTTTTATTTGGAGAGGATATTTTTATCCACTCAAACAATCTTACGCGGACTTCCCCGCTCTCACATATCCTTCCTTATTTAAGGAATAAAGAAACACAATTAAATTGAAAAAAAAAAAATTTCACGTATGTTTAAAAACCCAGTTTAGATGCAGGCGCCTCCATTAATCTCTTCAAACCCAGTTTGGGTATTGATGTTCTCTTCTCTACTGTGAAGAACAACCCATAGCCAAGTAGTTAAGTCGGCATCCATCATGATTTCATCTCCCGGCGAGTAACTTAGGCCCCGTTCATTTCATCGATTCGAGTTTTGTTACAGTAAAAAACTCTCATAAACAATCACATCTAACTTTTTTATTACAGTAAAAAACTCTTACATAAAGTCATATTTCAACTCGAATCTAACTTATTTTGTGGTAATATTTATTGAAGACTCACTCAAGTGCTTCATACTGATTCGGAATTTCTTTGTTTAGTTTAGTTTAGTTTTTTTTTTTTTTCAAAGAGTAGGTAAAAGAATTGAAAATGAAATCTCTTTGAAAAAGTAGGACACCATAATTTTTAAAGTATTATGTATCTTTAAATGATGGGGTGTGTAGTGAATATTTGTTCAAAATATTATTGTTCTTAAAAGTAATTTTCTTAATGTGTAATTTAGTAACATTAAATATGAGTGTCTCAAAAGTAAAAAATGAGTGTTAATAGACACATCTATTATATATTTATATTATATATAAATTTCATAATAGAATATACTAAGGCCTCATTCATTTCACCGATTCGAATTTTTAATTTTAGGTTTCTACAATAAAAAGCTCTCAGAAAATGTCACATTTAACTTTTTCTGTTACAGTAAAAAGCTCTCATAAAATGTCACATCTCAACTCAAATTAAAAATTCGAATCCGTAAAGTGAACGAGGCCTAAATCAGTAGCAGTGGCGAAACGGAAAATTTAGTAGAGGGCTAATAACTATAATAAATATTTTACCTACAATAAATAATTATTAAATAATATGATTGTTCCCGACAAGTTTTTATGCCCAAAATGTTGCACAATAACTTTATTATTGGAGCTAAATCATATGTCTATTTCAATATACACAAGTAAATCATTCATTCATTAATTTCTCATTCAATTTTTTTTTTTTTATTAACAAGATAAAAAGTGAAAAAAACTTAAAGATAGATAACTTTAGCCCAGTACTTAATCTCCAGTGGATTGTATGGTCATATTAAAAATATACTCCCTAACAACAAGTATAACTATTGAATAGAAACACACATAAAAAAAAAAAAGGCAAAAGAAATAAACATATCACAATAAATTATTGTGCATGCTTTATTTTTTTAAAAGAGGATATATACACTAGTGGAGAAAAAGAAAACAAGAAAATGAGAGGAAAAAACAAATAAACTTACTTTAATAAATAATTCAAGTTATTATTGAAGGAGAAATGATTTTGTTAAGCACTTAGGACATTATTTAGCTCTAATTCAAAGTAACATTTTTCAATTTTGGGAGTAATGAAATTTATTTCAATTGGTTAATTATTGCAGGAAACCCTACTGAGCTAAATAATTTTACTTTGAAAGAAACCCTAGGCTATGTCTGCAACATGCTTGTATAAAATTTATTTCAATTGGTTAATTATTGCAATTTGCACTACCTAGTTGGTCACTTTTGTCAAATCGGAGGCAGATTTGTTGGATATGGGCCGAAGGCCAGGGAGTCCTGCCCACGAGAGTTTAATGGTTCAAAATGAATACAAAGACCACGATCTTGAGAAACGGACTGTAAATGGGCCATCGAAAATTATGGTCACCCTAAGACCCGACATGTCCGAGAGTTTACCGTATGTTTTTGTCAAGATTACCCTTTCTCTCAGTACATCATGAACGACACTTAAACAAAGTATTATCTTGTCGTTTTATTGTTTACAGAAAACGAGGAAAAATCAATTTAGTACCCTATTATGGCAAAACATTTCTCGTAATCATCTGTTTTTGATAATATTAAAATGATTTCTTAACATTTTAAAATACTTTTTTTTAGTACCTTAAACTTAAGACATTTTCCCATTTTGACTGATCTGAATTTCCATTTAAGAGATAATAACAAATAAAATGAGGTTTGCTTACACGGATAACAGTTTTTGTTATTGGCTTAATTTAGTATTGCTGTGGATTTTAGAAAAATTGCCTTTAGCTGTGTTGAAGGAAGAAGCAGCTGTTACTAGAAGCAGCTGAGTGTTTGGTAAACTGTAATTATAGTAGCTGTGCTAGTTCCAAAATCAGTATAATAGCGTTTAGTAAATTTTGAGGTGAAATTGCTGTGGGTATGTAAAATGACCAAAATAGACATGGTATGAAACTTAAATATATATAATTATTTTTGGTATTTAAAAATACTTGTTTAACTTAAAAAAACATAATGTTATGATTAAAATTTTTTAACAATAAATTTATGATAATTAATTCTTTTTTTTTTTTCATTTCTTCATTCACAATATAATTACAACTAAAAAGACCATAATGATAAATTATCAATCTTGTTAATGCAACCAAATACTATAATTATCAATTTTGGTGGGGTTCTTCTAAAAAATCTGCAAGAAACTTCGATGCTATGATTTTGTTGTTACAACTAAAAGAAACTAAAAAAAACTTTGATGCTAGAAAACAACAAAATACACACACACACACACACACACGTAAATACACACACGCACGTAAATACAAACATATATATCCACACACACACACCCGTAAATACAAACATATATATCCATACACACACACCACGTATACACAATTCAAAATTGTTCTAAATGGTATCGTTCTCCTTTATAAGGTCCAAAAAATCATTTTAATTGTGAATAACCCGCGTCAACTAAATAGTATTACCTATTGATATAAACAAAAGCACAAAATAAAGAATGAAACACATACTTATTATTTGGTTTGTAATGTTATAAATACCACGACTCAAACCTCTCAACATCTTCCTTCAGTGGTTCAGAATCAATATCAGGAGAAAACACACAAAAATTTAAAAAATCATCATCATCATCCACAAGTGCTATCCGTTGTTGTGATGCAGAAAATGATCCATCATACACAATAATCCTTTGAAAAAACTAAACAAAGTACAAAACATAAAGAAAACAAAGACTAACCAGTATGGCATCATTTGATTCCATACCACCAAAATCCTTGACAACTGAGGTGATAGTTTCTTCAATTTTCTCATCGGAAACATCATTGGTAACATTATTCTTCCCTTGGTCCTTTTCACAATCCTCGCCACCATCGGTATTGATTTTCTCCAATCCTTTCTTTTCACCCTCAATAGCATTCTCCTTAACTACTACTTTCTTTTTACTCTCACCATCATAATCATCATCTTCAGCTCCTTCTTCATCTTCCTCTTCCTCATCTCCTTCTTCATCTTCCTCATTTCCTTCTTTTTCTTCATCATCAATCTTAATACCATCATCAGAAACCACATAAACAAATTTCTTCCTAGAAGGAAGCATAGAGTCGAACTTCTTACCCAAACACTTAACCGATTCAGCCAATAAATAGAATTGTCCAGACATATCAAAAATTTTATGAGTGACATCACTCCTAAGAGAAGAAATCTCACTGACCAATCTATCAGATTGGGCCTGCAAAACAGAAAGCTGTGAAGAAAAAACAGAATCACCATTATCATTCCGTGGACTGTGGGGACATGGAGGAACAACACTATCAACATCATCATCGTCCTCCAAGTTAGGAACACTAGAAGACGGGAGATCCTTTGCCGACTTCAGAGCTTTCTATTTCCGAAACAAGCCAACAGTGTAAATCTTTTCCCATTCAACATCATTTGGTTCCATACGAACACAAGAAAGCTGGAAATACAAAAAAAAAAGAAAAAAAAAAAAGAGGAACATATTATAATAAAAACAAGAAAACAAAAGTTCAAAAACAAAAGTTAAAAAACAAAAGACTACCTTCCCATCGTCATTTTTGAAAACATTAGACGGCATATTGGAGTAACCTTTATCATTGGTCTGCACTTGAAAATTACGAGGAATAGGCTCATCGATGGACTTCCTCAAAGCACAAAAACCAGCCACCCGTGGTATACACTCATAGATCCAGACTTGAAAAGCAAAAGCTAAACCACCAATCTTATAAGCTACCTTATCCCGAGTAGTACGAGCAACAACCTTATCTTCACGCTTATACAGTATCTCAAGACAACACTTGAAACTATCCAAGCGCATGCCAAAAGCAACCTTTCCCCAAGGAAAATCAGCAAACCTAGGACTATCCAAAATTGTAATATAGTCAACACTAACACAAACATTCTTTTTTTTCGCAAGAAGAAATGACGAAATAAAATACAATAAACCCATCTTCACAGCTTCCTCATCACTCTCAAACGGATAGGTTTTAAAACAATTCTTAATAGCGTCCCTCCTTACAAGCCCCTTAGAATAACCTTCAAAATATTTCTCAAGCAGGGTAGAAGCAGAACTATCTAAATAACTAACCAAATTGCAATCTCCCACACACTTTAGACGAGTAATCATAGCAAACTCTTCAATGGAAAACTTTACAAATGATTCACCAAATTTGAACCACAACTCATCAGGGTTTGTTTGATGAACAACATGAAAAAGAACCTCATGCATCAACTGACGCTGATTAGTAAACTTTAACATATCAAGAAATCGACCAGAAATAGTTTATCTGAAAAGCTCCCTTTGATTCTCAGTAAATCTATCGTAAAGCTCTTCAATAACAGAAAAAGACGCGAAAACATTAACCTGTTATGGAATTTTTTTATCTGGGTCTATACGATAGTCCCATAACTGCAAAAAGAAAAAAGAAAAAAAACACAAAAAAAAACTATAATCTTTCAGGGTAGATAATAGTTATAATCTGGCAGCCTATGAGCAAAACACATGCTGAAAATATAAAAAAAGACAACTCGAACACCAGATTCACACAAAAACACAAAAAACCACAATCAAAGTTACAAATAACCATAATACTCCAAGGCATAGATTACAACAGGTTTTGAATTGAAAAAATTGAAAATACCTTTAAAGAATTCCGGATAGGAGGAGGAGCACGTAGAACTTCCTCTCCCGCGTGGGACTCTAAATTTTTCCACTTTCTCTTCGAGGAATCATTACTGTCAACAATTTTAGCACGCTTCTGAGAAGAAAAAGAAGCAGCGCCCTTGCCCTTCCTCTTCCGTGGAGTGTTAGCCATGACTAAAGGAGAATGAAAATCAAGAGGAAATCATAGACAAAACTAAAATAATGAAAATCCAAAACCTAAAACAAAGAACAGTGACATCGACGAACTTACCGGAAAAACGGAGAAAACAAAGCCGAAATCAGAACACGAAATCGATCAAACAACCTCACGATCGAAATCAACCCAGAAATCTCGCAAGAAATCGATGGGCTTGTTCATTTGCACCAAACTAAAAAAAAATTTAACAACTACTTGAGTACAAGACGACACTAATTAATCTGTAAACTAGAAAGAATGAGGTCCTTAAGTAACTAAAAATTGAGAGAGAAACTCTTATTTTCCGTTTGATCGTTCAAGTAACTAAAGGACGATGAGAGGTTTGAAACCGATTGAAATAGCTTCCTGCGCCCACGTGTAGCGGTAGGCAGGCCAAAAAATCGCAGCAACGTCATTCGCCCGGAAACATTCGTGATGGCCGGGTTCTTGGTGCAGAGAAAGAGAGTAGCCATAGCTCCGGCCGTCCTTGCCGGCATATATTACGGTTTGGGCGCTGTTGCCCAAGAGAAACTCGGTCCAGCCAGTGCAATGCGGAATTCCCGGTCCACTACTTCTATGCATGGAAGTGTGTTATTCATGTCGTGGTTCGTGGATTATTTCGAATTGATTGGAAGAAAAATGGGTGTAGCGAAGAAATCAAATCGGAGTGCTATTTACATGTACACTGACTTCGTTCTTTCTACTACCATTTATAAAGAGTGAAATACTAATTGTGCTCTGGCTTCCAACAGCGAGAAAAGGAAATGAATACTACAGCAATTGAGAGATTTCTATTAATTTGGATTGTCTTTGTCGGAAGCTTTGGTCGTTCAAGTTGCTCGTCAAAATGTGAATTCAAGGCAATCTTTAACTTCGGTGACTCAAACTCCGACACTGGTGGGTTTTGGGCTGCTTTTCCGGCCCAGTCTGGGCCTTTTGGGATGACCTTCTTCAACAAACCCGTCGGCCGTGCTACTGATGGCAGGCTCATCATTGATTTTCTCGGTAAATAACATATTCATCACATAATTATGAACTAATTACATTTTCTACATGTATAATCGTATAAACTATATTCATGTTCATTTTACCTCCCCCGATATCTCTATTCAGATTTGTGGGTTCTTTAAGCCCGCCTTGTTTTAATAGATTTGAATCACAATTCAACTTTTTTCTATATATCTTCTCTCGTAAAACTTTGAATTTCAGTTCAAATTTTATATTCAATCAGTCATGATTCAGGAAGAAAACACTCATTTAGGTGCATTTAATCCCCTACGTAATTGGAAATACCACGTTTGTCTTTATAACATATATCGTTTAGTGTTCTAGCTAGACTTATCTAAAATAGACAAATACATCATCATTTCATTGCATTTTTGTCATGCGCTGAGAAAATTAAATTACAGCTTTTGGCTTCCAATTATTTATCTATTGCTCTCATTCTAGTTTGTCAAGTTTATCCGTTTAGATCTAAAAATTAGTCATTCATTCGGGATAAGCCAGTAAGGGAAAGTAAGTGGCTGTTTAGTTAGAGAATTTAAACCATGATTTGAATCACAGTTCATAGTTCGCTATAGTGTTTTGTTTCATAAAAAATACACCTAAATCAAAAATAATTCTAATAATATGATTTTAATCTGTGAACCAAACGTCTCCTAAATTTTTTTACGTACGTATGAAAATATGGTGGGGTTATTGAAAAAAAGAAATTAGTGTTATAAGACACTTGTAGTGCTGAGCACCTCCCACTAATAAAAAATAAGTCCCGCAGTATAAAATTTATAAGTGTAATTTATCTTTTATTAGTAATAGTGCTTAGGATCAACGGTGCCTCCGAACATTTTTCTTGGAAAAAATTTCTACAAGGAGACAAATAAGGCTAAGTTGGAAAAGTGTGGAGTCGTCAATCTCAGTCTGGATTTTCTTTGGTATCACGTGAACGTGGGCTTCACCTCAGCCTTCAAGATAGTTTTGGCAACACTCGATTGAGAGTTCAACGTGAAATAGATTAGAGATGGGACCACGGAATCATAGTGTAAACTGTGGTGTATAAACAAGCATTACTAAAGTATTATAGTTTTTAAGTCTTGTATGACACGACAGTACAAGTAGAACCCAAAAACGACACGAAATTAATAATTTTTATAGGACCCGATTAATTTTTACGTCAATTTTGAGTTGACCCTTATAACGAATGTGTGTTTTGGGCCAACACGCTTAACTCGAAATTGATTCGCACAACATGTATAAATTAGCGTTATTTTACAGGTGTGTGTGTTGAGTGTTTGGATTTTTTTGTGTGTTTGGTAGGGAGATTTGAAAAATTAGCATCCTTGTTTAGTTATATAAAAAGATTATTTCCCCTTCTTTCTTTTTCTTTTTATGAAAAACAAGGTTAATCACATCATTAATAATGTACACTTTTGAACTATGCAGCTCAGGCTCTTGGATTACCATTTCTGAGCCCATATTTGCAATCCATTGGATCTGATTTCAGGCATGGAGCTAATTTTGCCACATTGGCTTCCACTGTGCTTCTTCCAAACACTTCCTTATTTGTCACTGGAATCAGTCCATTTTCACTAGCTATCCAGCTCAATCAAATGAAGGAATTCAAGGTCAGAGTTGATGAATTTCATCACTCATCCAATAAAAAAGGTACAATGTGCAATCTGCATATAATTATATTGCCTCATTTTCATGAGAAAACACTACCCTTTTGATTTTATAATGTATTTTCATGACCTAAAAGTTGTTTTTTTTTTTTTTTTT